ATTTAACTAAGTCACCCCTCCCCTTACTAGTATTATGAGCTTCTAAAACCAGGTGAAACCATTAATATCGATTGCTACCGAAAACAAATAATCAATTTGAACCATGCTTTGATAGTGAAACAACCAGAATGTTCCAGAAGACACTGCAAAGTAATTTTGCTTCATGATGACGCACCATCACACACTTCAAAACCAGTTAAAGACACATTGAAAGATCTTGTCTGGGAAGTATGAACCCACCCGCCGTATTCACCAGACCTTGCTCCTTCAGATTACCACTTGTTCCGATCGATGGCACACGCACTTTCTGAGCAGCACTTCAAATCGTACGAAGAAGTGGAAAATGGGGTCTCTGAATGGTTTGCCTCAAAACAAGAAAAGTTCTATTGGAACAATATCCACAAATTACCCGAAAGATGGGGAAATGTGTAGCTAGCGACGGACATTACTTTGAATAAAGCACTTTTGATGTTTCTCTGGAAATTATTGTTTTCTTTGATGACAAAATCCGCTATTATTAACCAGTACACCTAGTATGATTAGGCACGCCTTTCAAGAGCCACAGACTTTTAGTTCTTTCTACACGGAACAGGGCTAAAGGTACTAACAACATGATTAAAATTTAAAAGTGGCTTTTCTACAAGATTGTTTAAATTTCACAAATCCTTATTTTTACAATGGAGAATTAATTTTATTAGCTATGCTAACCAAGTTACAAAATTTTACCTGAAGATTCCTGGTCTTAGACCCTCAACATATCAAACATTTGTGAACCTAGTTTTCTCTCTGTTGTGAATATCCTTGCAGGTTCACATTCCTGCCGCTGTCCCAAATGTTAAGTCATCTCCCACTGGTGAACCTCTCCCGTACTCCAAGTCTCTCTCCTGATAATTGAACTTCCTTGCCTCCTCAACTTCTTCCCAGAGGACTGCCTTTTCCACTTTGCCCTAAAGTCCTTTCCATCTTAAGCTCCAAAATTATGCTGGTGAGACTTTATAAGGGTAGATGGATGAGCTACATCACTCCCTTAACTTCAGTTTTTTGACCTACTTCACTCTAAGAACCTTCACGTTTATTCTTATCACCTCTTGGAGATGCTCCTCAAAGGCAATACATTCTGATAGTATTCCAATCTCTGACCATGATCTGTCTTCTCAGCTCCCACTTATCTACACCTGTGATTCTTATTTCTCTTGTTCCTAGACCTCCAGTTCCCTGATTCCTCTATTTTCTCACTCTAACAGGCTTCTTCTGTAGCTCTGCTTAGGCCTAGGTGATGACTCCTACTTCTGCCCTCCTGCCTCTACACTCCTCTCAAGAGAGCTAAGAGGAGGTGCCCATGCAGAGCCTACATCCACCACCCCCCACCCCACCACACAACTCTGGACTCCAGAATTCCTTATTCAAATGGCCCCCAGAGCCTGTGTGGGCCTCCTCCCTGGGCCAGTCCCCCTGAGGGTGAAGTGCACCCTTGTGTACATACTGCTGGGGTTGAGGGAGAGTCATTAGCAGGGGAGAGTATGGTTGGAGCTTGGACTTACAGGTGGTGGGGGGGTCCAGGCACATGTGCGGTGCCTCATGGTACAGAAGGGGGCCAGGGCCATCTCCCAATTATACTGTTGTTCAGGCTACACAAATGTTGGAAGTGAGCCACATCTATCAATTCAATCATCCTTCACTAAAAACCCAACTACCCGGCTTCTAGTCCTTCTGCTAGATCCACCATTAAACCTCTGCCCAGGACTATTTTAAACAGCCACCTTCTCTATTCGTACATCCAGATCACCAACCAGGGCTATGGGGTTTAAATGCTATTTTATCATAGTCTTTATCCTGCTCAAATGCTGGACTCTCAAGACTTCAGGAAAATCCATCCAGGTCACCCTGTGCTCCCCTAATCCCACACCAATTATCTCAAACTGTGATCAGTTTCCCAAAATTTCTCTTCTCACTGTCACTAGCTAACCCTGCGGGCCATTAGACAGAAATTCCCACCTACAAACATAGCTACATCTATACCATTCTTTCTTTTTTACTCCTAATGGACATATTTGTCTTATCTAAAGCCAATTTCTCAATCTGTGAGAGAGTCTTATGTGATCTCTTCCAAGACATCACTCCATGAAATAGTATCTTTTTTAGTAGAGTCTTAAAGGTCTCATTTACAGTGCCTCTTTACATAAGGGGCCAGTCGCGCAATGGATAACGCGTCTGACTACAGTGCCTCTTTCCAAACATATACATGCTTGAGTGCTTAAGTGTCTTCATCTAAATAAAATAAAACAAAAACTTCCTTGATCCTGGGTCCCTCACTAGAAATGACCTCTATTTTCTCCCCTTCCCTTCATTCCCAAGATTTTCAGAGTGGTCAAGCCAGCGTTGCCATCTTCATGTCATCTCTCTCTTACTCTTTAACCTATTTCAATCTGGGTCCTGGCCTCATAAAAAAAAAAAAAAAAAAAAAAAAAAAGGAAACTGCTCTCAGCAGGGTCCCTAGTGTTTTTACTAAATCCAACTGACACTTACTAAATTCAACTAATCCTTTAGTACTTACCTAAATTAACTTTTTGTGATATTCGACAGTGTTTTGTTCCTTCTTTAAAAAAAAAAGTCTATTTTTTTATTGATTTCAGAGAGGAGTGGAGAGGGAGAGATAGAAACATCAACAATGAGAGAGAATCATTGACTGATTACCTCCTGCATGCCCCCCACTGGGGATCAAGCTCACAACGTGGGCATATGCCCAGACCTGGAATCAAACTGTGACCTCCTCATACATAGGTTGATGCTCAACCACTGAGCAACACTGGCTGGGATTTTTTTTTAACTCCCTCTTTTTTTGGAACTTTTTCCTTCCTTAACATCTGTGATAATGATTATGCTTCTCATTCTATGTCTTAAGCTGTATCTTCACAATTTCCATCATCTAACCTCTTTATTCCCTTCCTTAAGATTCCCTGATGTTTCTTGGGATTCAGTTCTGTGCTCTCTTTTCTTGTCTTTATTTTATACACTCTTCCTGGGGTGGTCTGGTCCACCTGTGTGGCTGCATATGCTAGCCATAGTTAAAGACCTCCAAATCTGTGCCTCTAGCCCAACTCTCCTGAGTTTTAGACCCATATATCTAAAAACTATTGGGTAGCTGACTTGGATGTCAATGGCCACCTCAAATCCAATATGTCTAAAATGAAACTGGCCATCTTCCTTACCCCTCAGAACCAAGCCTGTCTCCTTCCTGTATTATATCTCGGTGAAGATCACCAGTATGGATTCAGTTGCCCAAGTCAAAAACCCAGGAGACTTTCCGAATGTCTTACAATCTATTCTCCAGATTGCCTACAGAGTAAACTACCTAAAATGTAAATCTGATCATGGCAGTCCCCTTCAGTGCCATGGTTCAGGATCAAGTTCTGACTCCACTGACTTTCAGGATCAGAGCTATATTCAAGGCCCTGCTGGACCTGCCCCTATTTCTCTGGCTTTTTCAACACTACCCTTTTCCCCTCAGCTTTTTCATTTAACGATCTTTCAATTTGGCTTAGGATCAAAGAGTTTATGAGCAGAATGTTTTAGAGATAAATGCCTTAGAATAAATCAACTTTTACCAGTAAACACAGTCAAAATTGTTACTTTTGGTGTTCTAGTCCTCTTCCTAGTCCTCTCCTGACTATCTCTTCTCAGCCTCTTTTGCTAGCTTCTCTTCCTGTACCCATTCAAAAAAGTCAGGTTTCTGATTCCAGCTAGATATCTAGTTGAAGCTCCAGGCCCACGGACGTCTCAAATGCAGCAAGTTCAAACTTGAACTTTCTCGTGAATTCGCAGTTTTAGTTTTTGCCACTCTTCATCTAGGATCCTAAGCTAGAAACTTGTTGTACATATTAGTGAGCCAATTACTGTGCCAGGCACTATACCAAGAGTTTACATACATTTTCTTATTTAATTTGTTTCTTATTTAATAAGACAAGAGGCAGGTATTATGAACCCAACTTTACTGGACACAGAGAAGTAAAGTAGCTTGCTCAAGATCACACAAGAGGTGTGGAATTGGGATTTAAACTCAGGCCTGACTACAGAGCCCATATTCTTAACTGCTATCCTATACTCATGTTGCAACTGCATTCTAAAAAAGAAAAACATCATGCCGAAACCGGTTTGGCTCAGTGGATAGAGCGTCGGCCTGCGGACTGAAGGGTCCCAGGTTCGATTCCGGTCAAGGGCATGTACCTGGGTTGC